GGTGAGGTTCTAAGCCTCACCCCTGTTGATCCCCAATTTCTCACCTGATGGCCCCCCTGCGACTGTGCCTGTCTTAGGTTGTTCCTCCCTTGAGGAATCTTACCCATCTCTGGCTAACCAGTTATCTTCCGGGGCAATACAGGGCTCATTTATGTTTTTATGTTTCGATGCACACAGACTATAATATTTTGGTTTGGGTGTATTTAAACATTGTGTAAATGGTATCACATTTATGTATTGGTATTGCTTTTTAACAGAATTTAAGTTTAAATGTTAATACACAAAATTCTGGTTGAAGCTGTATTTTACATGTAAATCATTTCCCTCCTGAGAGATGATTTGTTTCTACTTTTTCTCTATTGTCAGTGGCTCTGGACATCTTCCTCAGTGTTTCCCTGTGCACATGTATGTGAGTTTCTCTGGGCAGAGACCTAGATATGGTGTCTGCAGGCTAACGCTGACTCCTAAGATGTTTAAGTGTTTGCCTTGCTGTATTATTAGTTAGCTAGGGCTGCCAAAGCAAAATGACGCCAGTCATATTAGACAGACTGGATGAGGGCCCACCCTAAGGACCTCACTTCAATGTAAAGACCATCTCTGAATACAGTCATTCTGAGGTACCAGGGGGTTGGAACTTAACATAGGAATTTGGCGGACCTAGTCCCCCCACCACAGCACACGTTTTCCTGCTGCTCCAATGGGGAGTCCTTCCTGTCTCTGTCCGTTCTCCTCATCTGGTTGCCTCTCAGATTTCTCTTCTAGTGTTGGTGATCAGTTACAGTTTTTAGAAAGGCATACTTACAGTCTCATTACAACGTGGTTTGAACTGTGAGGACCCACTTAGATGTGAGTTTTTATCAATAGTGGACAGTTTTTTGGAGATCTGTGACAATTTGAAAAAAGTTTTCCCTTGCTTGGTTTATTATAAGAATACAATATGTAATACATAAACATACAAAATGTGTTATAATAGACTGCTATGTTATCAGCAAGGCTTCCAGTCAACAGTAGCTATTAGTATAAGTTTCTGGGGAGTCCAAAGTTTTCAGTTACACAGGGTTCTGCACCCCAATCCCCAAATTAGATGTTTGGATTTGTGCATTCAAAGGAAATTTGTTCTGGGAAAAGCTCTGAAGGATTATTACTATGACCTTCTTCATTTTCAAATCTACACTGGAATCTCCTTTTAGGTATATACTTGTTTATTGTGGTAATCTTATTTTTTGAAATGTATTTTTCTTTCAAATGCTGATTTTACTTCCTATACTCACTCCCCTTTTTGTAAAAGATGTACTTGAATTGTTTTTCATATACATCTAGTTGTCTTAGGAGCAATAGGTCCCTTTGTTTGGGAAGATGAATTTGAGGGTGGGTAACCTTGGGTTATCCCAGCAAGTAACAAAGCCAGTAAAACAGTTGGGTGAGAATGGAAAGAAGTCACCCAGCTTGCGGCTGATGGATGGTCTCATTTTCCCTGCATGCATATTTTTTCAGTAACTTGTGTTTCAAGAAGAGAAAGAAAGGGGTTGGGGATGGGGCATTATACTAGTCATGCTATTTTGTAACTAGCTTTTTAAACTTTTAAGTTGTTTTTTTTTTTCACTTTAAAATGTATTTCGAATGACTTTCCAGATCTCACTGTGGCTGGATAACATCTAGTTGCATAAATGTACGTACATGTTGTGCTTACATGTTGCTTACATACAGCTGAGGGATGGGAAAAGAGGGAGACTAACTTCGTATTTTCTGTGATTCGGTGCAAATGTGTGTTTGTTTACAATCTGAGCAGCTAAGCTTTTTGGACTTATTCTAGGGAAAGGATTATGGATGTGCACAAAAATTTAGCTGTGATATTTTAATTATTGTATGTCTAGGAAAAATTAGAAACACGTTTCTGAAAGCAATTAAATGTTGATACATCCATGCTCTGGAATGTTACTGGGAAAAAACTAACAGGCAAGATCTGCGCAAAGTTACTGTAGTGATTACCTTTGAATTCTTAAGATTTTTGTGTGTGTTTTACTTAGTTTTCTGATTTTCTTAACAAAAAAGTTATCATGTTTAGATGAGAAGTATTCGTTTTAAAGTGCTTTGCAACTCTGGAAGAAAATGTGAAAGAAAATTGTGTAATGTTTCATTGAAGTTTATTTGTTATATTCACCACACTTAGATTTAAAATTTTTTATTAAAATATTTTTTTAAATAAATTAAAAAGGACATAGATTTTAAAAATCTCAAGGTCCAGGGTTATTATTCAGTAGGTGGACATTGAAGGCATAAAGAATTTAATTTTATGGTGTTTCAGATTTAATACAACCTAAAGTAAAATAGGGTCTTTTAATTTTTGAATGTCTTATTTTTTTGTTCTTTCCCCTTTTGTAAACACAGATAAACCTTTTAAAATCTGTTTTATTGTCTATTATCTCTCTCTTTTTTTTTTTAGTTTTGTGGCAGGAACACTTGCCATGAGACCTATCCTTGTAACAAATTCCAAGTATATGAGACGGTATTGTTGACTGTAGATGTCTGCTGTACTGCAGATCTCTAGCACTTATTTGAGTGTCTTGCTTAACTGAAGCCTTATGCCTGCTGATTAGTAACTGCTAATTTCTCTAGGCTTTGATTTTATGAATCTGACTACCTTAGACACCTCACATGAGGGGAACCATGCAATGAGTATGTGCCGTTCTGTGTCTGGCTCATTTCACTTACCATGTCCCCAAGGTCCATCCATGGTGTTGCAAATCGCAGGAGTTTCTCCTTTTCTTAGGCATAGTATTGTGTGTTCAGAAAATTCTTGGACAATACAGAAAACACTGCAGTACTGTCAGTACATCATTTTTATTGAGGAAAAAAGTCCTGAAATAACAATATTTTAACATTGTTTTCTATTTCATAATTCTTTTAGGAATAGATGTGCCAGAGATCAATGAGGAACAGAGCAAAGTCTATAACAGTGCTTTGATAAACTGGCACCATCCAGAGAAGGATAAAGCTGATAGCTATGTCCTTGAATATCGGAAGATTAACAGAGATGATGAAATGCTGTCTTGGAATGAGGTAGAAGTGTGTGGGACAAGTAAAGTTATTTCAGATCTCGAGAGCAACTGTAACTATGCTTTCAGAGTAAGAGCCTACAAGGGCTCAATCTGTAGTCCTTCCAGCAAGGAATTGATTCTTCATACGCCTCCAGCTCCAGGTATTATGAATGTTGGGAATAAGAAAAGCATAGAGTTGGAAGAGACTTTGATAAAAGCTAGTGTGTCCATGAGACCTTAAAGGCAGCTCTCATTTGTAAAAGTTCCTAGAAAAGACAATTCCATACCTATGATTTAGAAATATACTGCATACTTGAATTTCACCATGTAGGCTGAGAACAGGATTAGTCAGATATAGAAGAACATGAAAGAAGACATTTGAGGGAGCAGGGCTTTTAAATTGGGGTTAAGGTCACATACATGCTACCTTACAGGTCATAAATAGTGTAATTCTACATTGTTTGATCAGTTGATAGAAATCTCTATAACATAGGACCTAGGTAAGCATTTAAGAAATTGTTGGTATAATTTGAAATACAACTTTGATTAATCTAATTCTGACTTGTCTGGATTTGCTTTTTCATTTGGCAACTTCCAGCACTTGGGGATGGAAGGTGTGTATTAGAACTCCGTCGGTGGGTGGCTTTTCCTCCGTACTATAAAGCAGCTCTTGCGCAGCCACCCGCCTTCCCCCTTCCAACTTAAAAACCACTGACACTACACAGAGTGCCTGTAAATTTTTATAAATTGCGAGTGACTTACAGGTTAGTTGATGTTCACTCCAGTGTCTCCATGAACAAGGGACAACAGGATCAAAGTCGTGCTCAGTCTGATTGGCAGGAAAACATTGTGCCCATCCATTTTGCCCTCTTGGTCACCACTGTAGAGATTCCTTCCATCGGTTTCAGATACCATTGTGCCCATCCATTTTTAGCAGCTTATGTACCCATGTTTTGTGCACTCTGCTCTTCCTTCCCCTTTTGTCCTGTTTACTATCCATTATTTGTTTTTCATGTCCATTGTGTCTAATTAAAACAAGCAAACAAATAAGGTTGGCTAAAATTACTTTATTTGAATTGGATTTACAAGTCTTATGTAAATAGTTCGTGCACTTTCCGCTTTCTTTTCTGGCCTGGCTGACTGAACGTGGAACAAACAAAAAGTGTGGAGGCGGCTACTGTTTGCAGTAACATAGCCGAGGGGGAGGGAGGACAGGACGCCTTAAATGGTCTTCCTTTCGGTTAGAGAAGCCATTTGAATAGGGTGACTGTTTAAATTGCACATTGGGAGACTTTTGAGATTAAAAGCAAGCAGGAATTATCCTGTCAGGACAATAAGCTTTACCAGGAAAAATGGTCAGCTTGCAAACGGAGAATGATTTTAGCTTGCTAGCAGACATTTTCAAAAAACTGTGGTATGATATAGTAAAAAATGTAAATTATAACAATTTTTAAACGTACAGTTTAGTGGCATCAAGTGCATTCACAGTGTCGTGCAACCATCATCATTCACATCCAGGACTTCTTCTTTTTTCCCAAAATTGAAACCCTGTGCCCATTAAACACTAACTGCGTTCTCCCTGTCCACAGAGCCTGGTCATTTCTACTTGTTTCTTAGATGAATTTGCCTATTCTAGATACCTGATATAAGTGGATTTGTGTAATCATTTTATGACTGGCATATTTCAAGGTCCATCCATGTTGTACCATGTATCAGAATTTTTTTCTTCACTTCTTAGGCTGAATAATGCTCCATTGTGTGTATACATCACATTTTCTTTATTCATTCATCTGTTGATGGACATTTGGATTGTTCTCACTTTTTGGGCTAGCAGCCAGTGGTATGTGTAATGGATTTGAGTTGATAGAGACTTAATGGTGTTACCTACATTTTGTAGATGAGGAAATTAAGGTTCAGGGTAAACTCTAGTTTAAATGCTTGAATCGGGTTCAAAATCAGGTCTCTCTTAACCCAAAGCCTGTCTTTTTTTTTGGAAACACTGCACTTGCTCATGTCTTTCATGTCAACTGATAAGGAAGACATTAAAGTTGCTAATTGTTTGCAAGCTTAAAAAATTTGAAATAAAATATTTAGATAATTATGAAAATGTACAACCCACTATTTCAGGGACTAAAAGGGCAGATCCATTAGTACACAATATTTGGGATGGATTTTCTGTGTCCCAAGAAACTGCATTCATATTTTGTCATACAATTAAAATATTTTCTTCTGCCTTTGACATTTCTGAAGGTTTTCAGGTCTAGAGAATTTACTGGAAGTTATTTCTAATCATTTGTCACAGTCTGTCTAGGATAATATATGTGTCATTTCAGTCACTTCTATTTGAAAAACCCATCATATTTAGCCATAAATTATAAAAATGCTTATTGTTTTCAGACTAATTTTTAGCTTTATTTACAGTTTTCAGTTTCCTCTTTGATGAGAAATGTGGATATAATAATGAACACCTCTTGCTGAACTTGAAGAGAGACCGTGTGGAGAGTAGGGCTGGATTCAGTCTTCTGCTCGCGGCCGAACGTATCCAAGTGGGTTATTACACAAGCTTAGACTACATCGTTGGAGATGTTGGGATCACAAAAGGGAAACATTTTTGGGCATTCCAAGTAGAACCGTATTCTTACCTGGTAAAAGCAGGAGTTGCTTCCAGTGATAAACTGCAAGAATGGCTCCGTTCTCCCCGGGATGCAGTGAGTCCAAGGTAGATTGTCTTATTGATCTAGAACTTGGTAATTCTTTTAAAAGTAAACATCCTTGTTAAGCAGGGTACTTATTTCATGCAGAATACATTTCTTAGATTTGGGTGTTTGGCTGCGCCTATGTGGCTAGCTAAGAAAGGAGTCAGTCTTGTCTTCACAGCGAATCATAAGAGTTAGCAGTTAATTTCTGATGCTATGAGAAAATGGATGATTTCTTTGATTATGGTATAGCTTTTGTAGTTTTAAATTTTGTCTCTCACATTAGTTACCTTAATTGTGTGAAAAAGTTGCTCACATGTATAACTCAGTGCCTCTAACTGCCATACTACACCACTGATGGTAAGTAGTTCTTTTGTTACGGGACAGTTTCTGTGAACTCCCCCTAATTACTTTACAAAATTGGATCCTGACAAACATGTTTCCACAGCAAAGAATTCCATTTCTGAAGAGACTGATTATAGACGTTGTGAGGACGAGCTAGTCCAAACAATTTTTGACCACTTACGTGAAGCACATTAATCCATGCTAATCTGAGTGATAGGAAAACTTTTTGCATAAAGAAGAGAAATTGACCTAACAATGAAAATTGTAATAGGGAAATGATTACTTAAACATAGGGGCATTTCCACTTGATAAAATATTGGTGTTAATAATGTTTGAAAAATTTGTAATGTGAGAAATATTAGAATTGAGAAAACCTGATTGAAATTGTTGATGTAGTATGATCACAAATATGTAAAATACGTAGGAAGAAAAATGGAAGGAACTTTGTATCAACATTTTCTATAAGCTGTTACTGTTTGATACTAGAGGGGAAAAAGTCTTCATAATACTTGCTTCTTACATCATTGTTGCATGTAGGAATCCTGGTCAGCAAATAAAGTTCTTAGGAGGAACATGGAACATGATTTTTTACTCCTGCATTATTTTACTTGTATCCATTTATTTTACTTAGTTTGATAATTCCTCGGATTAGGGTGCACATCTTGGTTTTGTATTTTCTTAAGTATGATTGTATAAATTTTAGATATTAAATCTTTGATAAGTCCCTTCAGTCCTCCTTCCCCCACTTTATTTTTGATAGACCGGAGTTGTTAGTTTTTAGATTCTCATTATCTGTGTATTTATCTAGGTACAAGTGGATGATTTATGACAGGATTTGGGTCTGGGTCTGTGGTGTAATTCTAAATGGCAGTGTGTTCTTATGCTTTTAACTGATTGTTTTAATAGAAGGTTTTGATGTACAAGTTAATGTTAAGTCACTGTACTTGAAGGCCTCTGTCTGTGTTGTGTTTTAGGTATGAGCAAGACAGCGGGCATGACAGCGGAAGTGAAGATGCCGGTTTTGATTCTTCACAGCCCTTTACGTTAGTTACCATAGGCATGAAGAAATTTTTTATACCCAAGTCACCTAATTCTTCTAAAGAACCAGAAAATAGAGTTCTTCCTATGCCAACAAGTATAGGGGTTTTCCTTGACTGTGATAAAGGCAAAGTGAGTTTCTATGACACGGATCACATGAAATGCCTCTATGAGCGCCAGGTGGACTGCTCGCACACAATGTATCCCGCTTTCGCCTTAATGGGCAGTGGGGGAATTCAACTTGAAGAGCCCATCACAGCAAAATACCTACAATACCAAGAGAACCTGTAGTTTAAGCATCTGATGTGATTTAGGATGAAAAATGTGAGCAAGGTTAATGCCTTCATGTTAACTTTCGTAACTAATTACATACCATCTACATATCGTGTCGCTGGGCTTGTTTTTTGTGTATGTGTCTTCTTAAAACAGAACTTAAAACAGTCGTGTTGCCCCCATGTCATTGTTCTGCCTTTGAAACTGTAGGAGTAAAGACACTCTCCTAAGCAACTCTGAAATGGTTAACTTTACAACTGGATTGTCTTTCTCTTTTTAGGAACAGGAAGTCTAATTTCTCTATGTCGGCTGGTATTGCTGCTACTTAAATTCCTTTTCTTCAAGTGCGGAGGGGATACAAAAATATTTATTATGCTGCTTTTGTGTTTGATTTTTCATTTTGATATCATGGTTATGTCCTAAGAGAAGATAAAAAGGCCAGTATATTTACGTGGAAAATTATCTATTTTAAGGTGTATAATTAATATGAAGAGTGAATCGCCTGGAAAATAAATACTGTTTTTTTTTTTTTTCCCAAGACCACAAATTGTATTCTTGAGGACATTTTTAAGAGTTCCCTCAGGTATAATGTCTACATGCATGTGTAGCAAACATGGTTTCTTGCAGGAAACAAAAAGTTCTTGGCTAACACATGATGAAACTTTCCATTCTATGTAATTTTTTGCAGAAAAATTATCTTCAATTTTTCTTACTCTATGAAAATATTTATGCTTATATCAAGTAACTATTTTTCACAAATATTAGTGAAGATACACTGATATTTGATATGTTTGTTCTTTTTGCCCTCTTATTTATTGTGTCTTATGATTTTCATTTTTTGGCACAAATATTACATATCAGATTATCTTGGTTACGTTTACATGTTTGAAAAGTTGATATATTTTTAGTGTCGTTAAATATATCAAACTGTGAAGTAACTGATTGTATGACATTTTCTATGGTGCATTGTTTAATAATAATCATTGTAATATAAACAAGTAAAAATACTATTTTAATTGTTCAGGAATGATAGTAAAACCATAATGACTGTTTACCCCTTTAAAAGTTAAAAATTCTTTAAGAATTACATTTCATTGAAATTTTACATTCACTTCTGAAAGATGTTCTTTCTTGGTTTTTAACTGCTTATTGTTTTGAAGTTAAAATGCTCAGAAACTACAGTTATTACACTTTATAACCAATCATTTTGAAATGCTTTTTCATATTTTAATAGATTAATCAAAACTGTTAGGTTTGTTTCCATTGTTTTTTGTTATTTATTTTTTAATGGAAATTTGTTTTCAGGCTAATAGCCCTTAACTAGCCCTCCCCTCTTCCCTCCCCTAACCCAGTAGGACTGTCATGGAAGATTTCAGTGGTAGGTAGGCTTTGTTACTCTCCCACCTATGAATAGCACTTTTTGACTTAGGCTGAACCCAATATGCAGTGTTATGTGGATCATTGTGCAATAAAGTTGCTGATGTCACATATGTGGTTAAAATTTGAGATTCTCAATCCTGTGTAAGCACATATCATGTAGACAGTTTAAATGTAAAGCTTTAATAGGAATAGGAAAGCTGTTTAAAACATTGTACAGTTGTCTATAAAGTGTTCCCCTGGATTTCTTTAATTTTTAATAAAAATTAAAATGACAAGTGTAATTATTGAAATCTGCATTCCAGGAATTTTCAATATGTTTATGTGGAAAGTGGAAATAAAGTGTTTACGAAAAGATATTTATTTAGTTAGAGTATATTCACTTAGAGCTGCAGTTTTATATAAAATTATTTGGGGCCATTTGTTATCTTTAATTCCTATGGAAGTGATCATTAGAAAAGTGGAACATGAAACTGACTAACTTCAATTAATTGATCAGTTTGCTGCTTTTCTGATCCATAATAGGCCAGAGTTGATCTGATGAATGGTCCTTTGTTCACATTCACACTCTTGTACTATGGGGCTCTGTAGTCGTGGGTCACTACAGAAAGTCTTAAAATACAGATTCAGTGCCATCCTGTGATATTTTTGGGGAGGAAGGAATTTCCTCAGCCCCTCAAGGTTCTTCTAGCTGGTCTAAGAATCAAATTGACATGAGACATATTAACAGGAGGAAAAAAACCAAGTTTACCTATTGTATGGGGAAGCCTTAGACATGGATTCAAAGACAGGGAGACTGAGGTATATATGTCTTCCTGAACCAAGGAGAAGTGGGTAGCAGTCTGAGATTTCAAAGGAAAAGGGAAGCAATTCACAAGAATATGACAGAGTAAATGTTTGACAAACAGATGTTTGATGGTGAAAGGAAAAGGGGGGATGCGAACTCAACAGTCCAGGCAGGTTTATTGCTAAACCTGAGAGGGACCCCCTGTCCTGGCCAGCAGAGCCAAGAAGGCATCTCTTACAGGCTCAGAGGCTTTCTGTGGCCAGGTTTTTCGGCCGGCCTTTTGAGGGGAGGGGGTCGGAAAAGGTGGGTTTGTGGCTTGCGGACGTGTCCTGGAGGATGCTTGTAGCCTAGGTAAGATGACACGTAGGTCTCTGAGATGGTGGGTGGGCTTATTTGAAAGGTGTTACTCCTGTCCGGATTCTATCACTGCTGCTCTCAAAGGGTATAAGGAGAGGGATTGCTGTTCTTTTCTTGGCTACTTCCTGCTGAGAGGGGGCGGGTTTTCTGGTATTTTGGAGCAGGAAGGCCGTTTGGAGGTGTTCTTGAGAAGTTGCCCAGGAGATGGATGCCATTTGATCCTGTAAAAATCTTTGGAATAGGTTAGTTAAGCAGGGGAGGAAGAGGAGGAGCCGGGCGATAAAGGCGAAAAGGGCCAGGAGAGGCAGAAGGCGGCCGAGGCTTGTAGAAGCTGAGAGTGGAACACTTGGACTCCGGCCAGGGAGAGAAGCGTCAAAACCCGGTGGCTGGGAAGGTCGGAGAGGTTCTGTGAGGTGTGTGCCTGTCGGGGCTGACGGAGGGCAATTTTTACTGTTTGCGGGGGCGCTTCAGGGATAAGGAGCGCAGCTGACACCAGGACCTGTAAGCAGAACGGCCAGCCTTTTATCACAGCGTCAAGTTGCTTGGACAGATAGGCAGCAGGTGGAGGGAGTCCCCAGCTGATTGTGCGAGTAGTCCTAACGCTTGTCCCTTTTTGCTGGTTAAGAAAAGAAGGTGTTGTTGGGGTTAGGTAGAGTCAGAGCGGGTGCCTTGAGGAGCGCTCGCTTAAGGGCCCTGAAAGAAGCAGGAACTAAGTCTCGGGCACCCTTTCTTGGGGATCCCCGTGGGAGGCCTCGGTGTGTAAATTGCAGTATTTCCAGAATATCTCCCCTGGCTTTAGTGCATCTCCTTATCAACAGGCATTCCTAAGGGGTGGAGAGGAGTAGTCCATCTCCATATCAGTGGGTAATTACCCGGGCGACCAAAGGCTTATCTGAACCTGAGAGGTTGAGGGGAGGATTCACTGCTGCTGCTGTGGCAGGAGAGAGGGAGAGATGCCGGACAGCTTTTTTGTAAGCAATAAACAGGTTTTAAACTTTATTTCTCCCTTTGACTGATTTCACTTTCAGCTAATTATTTGCCCTGGGATTTACTCTCCCTGGAGTTACATCTGGTGGACCTCTGAACCCAAAATCTGTCTAAATGGGTGTGATCTTTGGCTGGGCTGCCCTTAGAGACGGTGGGGAGATGCCTGGAACCCCCCTGTGGATAGTGGGGAGCAGCAGAGGGTGCAGCTTCACCTGGGAGCCCCCTACCTGAGGGGCTTCCAATTTTCGAGCACCTAGTGGAAACTGGTTCTAGACTAAAGCACCTCCTACAGGGATGGGGGGGCGTGGAGACACAGGAAGCTGCAGAATTAGCCCTCCTGTGAGATGAAAGGCTGCTTTGAGGCCATGAGGGGCCTGAGACACAGTATCTCTTTTTCCCCAGGAATCTAAGGAGGGAGGTAGTGTGGGATACAGAATCATTTTTTGAAGGCTGCAAAGCAAGAGGTCGACATACTGGAGCAGGCGGCTAGGGGCAAGGCTGAGAGATTGGAGGCCCTTTTGTAGAGCTTGGCCAGAGAAGTGGGGACATACCAGCTAAGACTGCCTGCTCTGCCTTAAGACAGGCCGTTGGGCTATTGTCTGACTACCAGAGAATGTGCTAGGAATCTTACCTCTCAAGTCTCTGCTTTTTAAAATGGAATCTTAGCCTTAAGATCGAGTCCCTCTCCTGTTCTTACTATGCTGTTTGTATCTCAGCATTTTTCATCATAGGCAGGAAAAGTTCATCATGTGCTTGTCCCATGTCTCTGCCTCACCTCATTCACCCCTCAAGGAATGTGGGCCCCTGAAATCTTTCAAGGAAAAATGGGTGCTGGTCACTCTTCTATATCTGCTTCCTGCTGAGTAGGGGCGTTGTCCCTGCCTGTGGGTCCAGCAGTTCCTTGCTGTCAGGGAGAGGAGGGGTCATGGAGCCATAGTAGCAGAAACAGACATGGACAAGGGCACATGAAAGGAGGTGCAACTAAGTTGCGGGGCTGCTGATGTGCGTCTTCATCAGCATTAGGGTGGACTGAAATCCTCGTCTGAGCAACATCTGGAGTTCTGGAGGAAACAAACCTGACAAGGAGATTAAGAATGATCTTAATCTCCAGTTAGGATGGCCAGCAACGAAAAGACTAAGAACAACAAATGCTGGCGAGGATGCGGAGAAAGGGGAACCCTCCTACACTGCTGGTGGGAATGTAAGCTAGTTCAACCATTGTGGAAAGCAATATGGAGGTTCCTCAAAAAACTCAATATAGAAATATCATTTGACCCAGGAATTCCACTCCTAGGAATTTATCCAAAGAATACAAGTTCTCAGATTCAAAAAGACATACGCTCCCCTATGTTTATGGCAGTACTGTTTACAATAGCCAAGATACGGAAGCAACCTAAGTGTCCATCAGTAGATGAATGGATAAAGAAAAGGTAGTACATATACACAATGGAATACTATTCAGTCATAAGAAAGAAACAAATCCTACCATTTGCAACAACATGGATGGAGCTGGAGGATATTATGCTCAGTGAAATAAGTCAGGCAGAGAAAGACAAGCACCAAATGATTTCCCTCATTTGTGGAGTATAACAACGAAGCAAAACTGAAGGAACAAAACAGCAGCAGACTCACAGACTCCAAGAAGGGACCTGTGGTTACCAAAGGGCTGGGGTGGGGAAGGGTGGCTGGGAAAGGAGGGAGAAGGAGATTAAGGGGTATTATGATTGGCACACAGGGTGTGTGTGGGATCACGGGGAAGACAGTGTAGCACAGGGAAGGCAAATAGTGACTCTGTGACATCTTAGTACACTGATGGCCAGTGACTGCAATGGGGTATGGGGGGGACTCAATAATGTGGGTGAATGTAGTAACCACATTGTTTTTCATGTGAAACCTTCATAAGAGTATATATTAATAATACCTTCATAATAAAAAAAAAGCTAAGTGCAGTGCATGCTAGGTAAGGGTGAAGAAGCACAGAGAGGTTTTGAGATAGTTCAGAAGTAGAACTCACCTTAAGTTCTACTGGAAAGTTCATGGAAGGGTGGTTTAGTGGTTGGGGCACCCTGAAGAAGCGAGCTGGCCTCAGCCTGAAGCCGTTCTTGCCTCTCCAGCATGGACGAGGGGAAAAAGTGTAGCCAGAGCTTGGGGAGAGCCTTCGGCAGCCTTGCATGGTGGGAGCTTGGTGGCCACGAAGGCAGCCAATCCCAGAGGTGTGGTGCCACCGCACGGAGTGGCAGAAAGATCGTCCACTGGGCCTGCTGTGGCTGCCTATTGACCAAACCCCATTGGAAGCCAGCCTGAAAGTTGGAAATACTGAGGAATTACCAAAACATGCTGCAGAGACACAAAGGGAGCAAATGCTGTTGCCACAAACCTTACATTTGTGAAAAACTCAGTACCTGTGAAGCACAATAAAACAAGGAATGCCTGTATTTAACCCCATAAGATACCTTTTATGAATGAGGGGAATACATTTGAATACAAAATTGCATCTGGGGAGTCATAAGTAGTATATTCACTGCTTTTATTTCCTAGTAGTACCCAAAGCCAAACCGGGGAGGTTTATAAATAACTGACTTGAAGTGTAATTCAGCCAGTCAGATAAAAATTAAATCCAGTTTTGTGTGAAGTCCAGGTAAGGTGGCCCAGCAGGGCTTCTGTGTTATTCATAACAACAAGCTCATAAAATGAAAATGAAAATGACTTCAGGAGTCTGTGTCCAGGTCAAGCACACTTCTTTCCCATAGTTTCTCTGTGTCTCCTGGACCTGCTGCTGGGCTTGTTAATGAAAAAGCCCACGTGCTCTGGAGCAGTACTTTTTGGGTGTTAAAGGCACATGGAACACCTGGGACATCTCCTTAGTAGGCAGATTTTGATTCAATAGGGCTGAGTTGAAGCTTAAGTATTGTCTTTTCCAACCAGCAGCAGGTAAAGTCAATGGCGCTGATCCCTGGACCTCAGGCTGAGTAGTCAGC